GATTGTGATTATTTGCAAAAATTAGTAGACAGCATTCCTTGAAGGGTCCAAGCTGTAATTGAATCAAAAGGAAACCCAACAAAATATTGAATAAATGAATGAAATATTTATACTTTTTTGATACTTTTGATATAAATTTAATAAAGATTTATTATGTAAAAATAGTATACAAACTGTTGATGAAAATTTTTTCATTATTTTTACATTTTGTATTAATGCTCCATGAATATTTGATCAATAATTATGAACGTGTATATATATACATTTGAGAACAAATGGAACAACATTTTTTAAGTTTCCAAGATGTGTTAAAACATTGTATCTTAAAATAGCTCTAAGTGCTACTTTTTTGAAAAATTTTCGAAAAATTTTAATTTGACTTTTAAACATCATATAATTATTAATAACAATTGGCCTGATGTGATATTTTAAAGTGTTATGGTAATCATTTCAAAAAACATTTTCTTACTAATACACAACATCAATTTGCTTAGTAAAAAAATGAGTATTTGTATTACCCGTTTATTTGATTATTTTGACGGATCATCAAGTGAGTCGATACTTTTTGTAGGGGTGTGTATCAGCAAAGTAATCTATTAATAGTCTAACGTGTACGTACATATTAATATATATATATATACAAAGAAGCAGGTGAAGATGTTTGTTACTAAATCAGGGGGTTAACTTTTTGCTTTCACGACATAATTGCTTTATTTGATACGACTTATAATTAAAAAAGTTAGTTACATCATTTATTGTTATCGTGGTGATATGACATTATACAAAATAGTCTAATTCAACATTAACACTAATACTAATACTATAGTAAATGATAGTGATACAATAACATCATACAAAACATACAAAATAGTTTAATTTATGAAAACTTCTGAAAACGCTTTTTTCAACATCTATTTACTGTTACAAAAAACCAAATCAGTGTTAAATCATCTCTATCGGACCTTTTTCGTTTAACAATTTCAATCTCTTGTATTCATTTATCACACTCCTACCCACCTTCAAGGAATCGAAGTCGAAATCAAAAACGTCCATCGAATTCCAGGAAGGAGTTCGACTCATCGCCACATAGATCTGACCAGGAGCAAACATATTTTGATCTATGGTCAAGGTGACGTGCAGCAACGTTAAGCCTTGGGTCTTGTGGACGGTTAACGCAAAAGAGTTCTGTAAAGGGATTTCACTTCGGTTTGAATACTGGAAAGAAATGAGACATTGTCGCTGGATTGCTCGGGTTGATTTTCTGGATTTGGTTGTAGAAAGTGGGAAATGATGTAATGATTGATTTTATGATCATGGTTTCAAAAAATTAAGTGTAGACAGTTTATTTAAGATTTGGGGATTTTTTTTTTGTTAAAAAAAAATGCTAATGAGCAAAAATTTATTTATTTTATTGAACAAAAAAATCTAAACACATCAATTTAAATTTAGATTGGAAATTAATTACACAACAGAAACCATCAGATCCTTCATTGTTAAAAATTCATTCAAGGCTCGTGCATTTCTTTTAAACCTTTTTGATTTAAGAAATTTAACCTCTTATACTCATTTATGACATCGACGTCCACTTTCAAGCAGTCAAAATCAAAAGATAGAATGTCCAATGACTTCCAGGAAGAAGCTCAACTCATCGCCACATAGATTTGTCCTGGTGCAAACATGTTATGGTCTATAGTCAAGGTTGCATGTGGCAGTGTTAGGCCTTGAGTCTTGTGCACCGTAAGAGCAAATGCATTCTGCAACGGAAGTTGATACCTTGATGCCGGTATGCCATTTATATTAAAATTTGCAGTGCTTTTCTGAACGTTGATTTTCACCACATTATCAGTTGTTGGGAACGTAACTTCAACATTGTCATCATTAATAACTTTAGTTACCACTCCTATCGTCTCATTGCAGATGTTGTGCTCGAAGAGTTGGTTGTTCAAGAACATAACCCTCACCCCTTCCTGGATTGTAATGGATTTTTGGAGATTTGTGTGATTTTTGAAAGGCAAGTTGTGCCCACCATTGATCCTCTCATGATTTAAAGTGTCAACTGCTAAGGAAAAGTGCATCGGTCATCGAAAGGTAAGTGCTCACAAACGAAGGTGTTTATTTGGTCTGATATTTCACAGGTACTAACAACGTGGGTAGTGTTTATCATCACCCTGGAATTTTGAGATCTTTCTACCTTTTCATTGATCAACAATTTTGATTTTTGTGAGAGGTGCCCAAATCTCAACTCCTTGAGCAAATGGAAAAAATCCAAATCTTCCTTCTGTCGTTGTGGCCTGGACAAGAACAGAGGGAAAAACGCTTTCCACGCCGGTGAAAAGAAAACATGTTCTCCGTTCACGGGAGGCAGTTGGAAAAGATCACCAACCAACAGCACTGAAATTCCACCAAATATCTTGTGGCTGTTGTGCAACGAACCAAAAAGGTTACTCAGGAACGAAAACAGCTCATTGGAAACCATCGATACTTCTTCTATCACAACAGCCTTGATCTTCAGCAGAGCTTCTCTCGAGGACTCAGTACTTAGGGACAAGGACTGGTAGTGGCCATCTGTTTGTCTTATTCTCAAGGTTGAATGAATGGTCCTCCCACCAACGTTCTGTGCTGCAACACCTGTAGGTGCCAGCAACAGGTAATTGATTTTCTTTTTTTCCAGCATGTCTATCATTTTTAAAGTCATGAATGTTTTTTCAGTACCTGCAGATCTGGTCATGAAGAAGTACGGATACTTGTTTTCGCATTTGGGCCCCAAGAATTACAAAGCATGTTGTATATTTTGTATTGGTCATGATCAAGCATCAGTGTGGAGGCTGTTCAAAGAGAAGGCTTTTCCAACAAGATAAGCTGGTTATATATAACGTCCCAGAGATCGTTATTTTGTAGATCTGTCAGGATGTGTTCAATCACTCTCTTGAACGCTTCAGAAAGTTGGAATTTGCCGGCAACGGAACTTTTTGATAATCTCAACACGGCCTGCTCATACCTTATCGGGTACAGGCTTCTAAACCTATCCCTATAACTTGTAAATCCTCCTAGCAAATCAACCTCGGAGCGAACGGCATGTTTCATTATAAGATGCTGATAGAAAAACGGCTCTCCATCGTCAACATTATAATTCGTAAATCTCACGAGCAATGGTTTGGTCCTTTCAGCAACAAATCTATGTTTCAGATCTCTTGTCAAGTAAAGCTTGCAGGTTCTTCCCAGTGGACGACCCCCAACTTTAAATCTTTGAAAGTATTCAGGGTAAGTTAAACTTTCGAAAAGTTCATTACTTGGCCGATCAAAATACTTGTCTATCGCATATCAAAATACGGTTTTTCCTCATCCTCATCCTCATCATCATCTTGTTGCTCCTCAATTTGCATGTGAACGGGCTTGACTGAACGAATTCTCAATTCAGAAGGGGCTGATGGAAGATATTGAACGGAAGCGGAAGACCTTGTTATGGAATATTGCAAAAGCAATATCATGAGTTCCATCAACCCTAACCTCCTAGCCTGGACATGTCTGCTGTAAGAATCTTGTTCGCTAACGTTGAAGATTTCCATGGGTTCAGGCTTGGTGGCATACTTTGTCACGTATTTTCCAAACCCAAGGGTCATTATGTATTGGAAGTTGATGTGTCCTTGCCAAATCAAAAGTGTCTCAGGGTGGTACAGTACAACCCAGCGGTCTTCCTCTTTGGTTCTTCGATAGACGTATCATTTGGAATTTGGCCTACAGTACGTGTCGTTTGAAAGCGGTTGAGGGAATCCATTTTTGCACGGTTGCAAATTCGTACCTGGACCTCTGCATTTTTCCACAATGCATCTATGAATTTGGAATGTTGTGACAAGCCAGTGAAGCTCAGGCTCAAGGACCAGGTGAGGCATGTCCGCACGGATTGCATTGTCCGAAATCAAGCCTTGGATCGAAGATTCGGTGTAGGCGAACCCATGCGTGTGGATGGTTCCTCTGTTCTGAAATTCATCCCTTTCGAAATAGTGTAGGAGCTTACCCCATTGCACAAGACCTGGATTTTTCCAAAGTTTATTGCGCACGTTTGCCAACCTGTTGTGATAATGGAGGTACATGTGCAATGGTCTGTTTGTTGGGAGTGGATCTTTCTTGTCGGTGCATTCTAAGATTTCTTTCAGATGCTGCCATTTGCCTTCTGCGGCTGTCATGGTGTAGAAAATTTGGGGCAGGCCATAAGCTTGGATCATTGTGTTGACCTGATACTGTTTTTTCTTGAAAAAAGGTGCGGACGTTCTGATAGATGAAGGTAGCGTGGTGGTTAAGGATTCGTTTATGATGGGGCAACTTGTGTACACGCTTGATGATATCAAGTCGGCTCTGGTAAGGGGTGAGTCACAAGCAACATTCTTCTGATTCAAAATTCTGTTCCGATTTTGGTAATTCTGTTTTTTTTCTATGTTCATGTAAGAATAATGTGGCCAATACCAATGCAATCAAAACCGTGGATCAGGACACAGCATTCTTAATTTAACATACTTTCCATAACTGTCTGTAACTTGATTAAAGCTTAGCAACTTTTTCACATCTTCATAGTGACCACGGCCAGTGGGAAAGAGACCAACGCTTCAACGTCTGGATTACTGAGCTGAATCGGAAGCACAAGGTCATCATCCAAGTCCATGAACCCTGCCATCAAGCGTTCATACCTGTAGTCTTCGTCATGGATTCGTGCTGGAAAGTCATAGTTTGGGACAACCAAGGAGGGTGGTTGTGCGGTGTGTTGGTTAGATGGTAAGTGATCAATGGATCGAGAAACCAGCCTAGCTGTGGGCAAAGGCTCTGGAAATGGATCAGAGGGTGAAGAACGTGTCATGGCGTGATTGTTGTCATATTGTTTAAATATTGGGTTGTTTTGTTTCAGCCATCAGCTTGCATTTATCAAGCTCTCATGAAACCAATTAGGTGGCTCGGTACCTTGATCAAGGAAAGCACCAATCATGCCCGAGTGCAGATTCAAAGCATGCTTATTCTTTGATAGTCCGATGAAGCCTTGCAAATGACAATAGTTTGTGTAATGGTTGGATCCAGACGCACGTCCCAGCGAACAGCTCATGTGAATCAGAGATATATGCTTACGGTACACCATTGGAACCGCATTGATTTCTTCGGGTATTGCCACTAATACAGGTGGGAAATGACAGTTTTTTACTGTTTTGCACGACAAGCAAACGGCAATCTTATACAATCTTGGTTGTTCATACGCAAAGGTAGCTGAAGTTTGGGGAATGCTGTTGTTAGGTCGTAAGTTTCATCAGGGTCGTAATCAACCCATTTCGCAGCAGTGCTCATCATTAGGATAGAACAATAGGCGCAAGGAGTAGATGGGTGATCATACAGTATTTTTTTTTCGAATTCGTCTAAAAGTTCTAAAAGTTTTTCTGAAGGGCGCCATGGCTGCAATGACAAAGCGGACACCAGCCGGTTACTCAGCAGAGCATTCGGCAAGTTCTGATTCACTTCGTTATGATTCACATATGCAGAAAGGAACAAAACATCACGAGCGTTATTATTATTATTATTAACACGATGAGTATCGGGATCAGGAACGATAAAATCCGAAATGGGATAATTATTCATGGTTTTTTTTTTTTATTTTGTATTGACAATTTTTTTTCAACAAAATTTATTTTTTAGACAAGATGTCCCAAACGCATTCTTTTTATACAATTTATCGAGGGTGAGCATCATCACGTTTTACGCAAATCAGGATTGGAGATTAGATTTTTATTCTTTATTTGTTTTTCAAATCAGTAAAACTAAGATATTGATCGATTGATCACAAAAAAAAAATAATCTATATTAAAAAAAAAATTTTTTACTTCTTCATTACACAACAGCAAGCCAAAAACATTGATCATTCATCATCGCTGTATGCTTCATTGTTTGATCAGTGATCAAGATCAAGGTCTTCCTCTTCGTCATTGGAACATGGCAACTCGGGTCCTTTCCCCTTTCTGTTAACTTGATCCATCGTCGTTTGTAAGGCTTTTGCTCTTGTGATGGGCCTGTTCAGTGGACCCAGCTCTGTGCAAACTTTTTTGTGAGATTCATTGTCATCAACCACCACTATTTGTCTTTTATTATTTTCTACAGTGTTGGTAGCGGCGGCTGATGTTGAGGTCGACGGTGATGTGGATGATGACGCAAACAATGACGATGATGACGTATTGTTGACTTTGCGCCTATTGTTTGACTTCTTGCCTACGTACTTCTCCTCTATGCTCAGAAACTTTTGCCTGCGCATGCTTTTTCCAGGCGAAACCTGTTCATTCTTCACTTTTGGAAATACCCAATCGACCTCGGTGCAAATTATTTGTGCAAGGTTCTCGCCTATGAACAATTCTCCAGCAGCGCTAAAGATCAGTGCCTTTTTTGACGCTTCCGCAATTGCAGAAAATCTTGGGTTTGAGTGGTCATAGACGCAAGGGATCTCAACGTCTTCGCTTGAGGAAGTGAACGTATTGTAGATTTTCTTTCCCAGAACAAAAAAATTACACTCGTCATCAGTGGCCACTGCTTCTGCAACACACGGAGCACAAAATGAAGCAAACAATGGGGTAATTGGGAGGTAGTGGACTCCAGGTTCCTCGCAAGTTGTTTTTAGGTCAAGATCTACCACCTTTAACACAATTACCTGCGAAAATATTTATTGTCAAGTTAGTTTAGGCGTAAAGGAACAAAACACTTCCTTCACACACACACAGCATAAATATACTTACGTATACTTGACCAGAAACGAACAGAAACTTGCCCACAATGGACATTATTTGGTGTTTTTCTATTTGATGGACCAGGTTGTTGTCAGCGGAGTTCATTCTAAATGCTTTGTAATTGACCTCCACATACTCTTGTTCATCCACACGGCATACAGCCACCCCAGTCACCGTATGTGATCCACTGGCTGACTTGATGAACATTATAGATGACAAGATACACGACATAGCAAATAATCAAAATTATTAAAGTAGTCAAAATTATTAAAGGAATAATATGCAAAAAAAGCAAGTGAGTAAAAAATATTCGAAAGGCGAATTGGTTTGTTTTTTATTCATTTATTTATTTATACATCCCAGATCAAAGGTCAATTTGATTGATCAGATTTTTTTTCAAGCCTACATCACCATAAAAGAATAAATTTCGATTGTTAAAAAAATAACTAAGCTTTTTTTTTCTTAATTAAAAGAAAAAAAGATCCTTTGCAAAGAAGAACCCTTGTGTGAATCAAAAGCCATTTGCAAATTTCGATTGTTTTTAAAATTTTTGTCCTGATCTTTTCCTTGTGTTCATTTATTTTTATCCCAGATCAAAGGTCAATTTGATTGATCGGATGTTTTTTTCAAGCCTACATCACCATAAAAGAATAAGCTTTGATTGTTAAAAAAATAACTAAGGTTTTTTTTTCTTAATTAAAAGTAAAAAAGATACTTCACAAAGAAGAACCCTCATGTGAATCAAAAACCATTTGCGAATTTCGATTGTTTAAAATCTTTTGTCCTGATCTTTTCCTCATGTTCATTTATTTTTATCTCAGATCAAAGATCAATTTGATCGAACAGATGTTTTTTCAAGCCTACATCACCATAAAAGAATAAGCTTCATGCAAGATACTTCGCAAAGAAGAACCCTAATGTGAATCAAAAACCATTTGCAAATTTCGATTGTTTAAAATTTTTGTCCTGATCTTTTCCTCGTGTTCATTTATTTTTATCTCAGATCAAAGATCAATTTGATCGAACATCACCATAAAAGAATAAGCTTCATGCAAGTATCAAAAATTTCAATTGTTTAAAAAAAATCAACTAAGCTTTTTTTTCTTAACCGATCAACACGTTTATTTGTTTTCCAGAAAGGAAATTTTTCATTAATCAAAACAATTTTATTGTTTTCTCCAAAAGGAAATCAGATCACCCACCATCCTTCAAATGGTCAAAACCAAAAAAGATTAAAAATTTTTCTTATCCAGATCAGACCACCCACTATCTCTCAAACAGTCAAAATCCAAAAAAAAAAATTTCGTTCAACATGAACAATCAAAAAAATTTGACAACATTTTGAACCGTCTCGTGACCAGAAAATATCACAAACATGTTGTGTGACAAGCCTCTGACGATCCGAGGTAAAGGTTCTAAGACAAAGGCCATAAGTTTTTGGTCCTTTTGAACGGTCCAAACATCTGAGCAAGTCGAAGACCTAACGATGGACAGCGGTCAACACCACACAAAAACATCTGAAGCGAAACACGATTTCCTTTCAGTCAAGTATCTGTTTTGCTCAAACCTGACGTTTTGAACCAAAACAGATAAGTTTTTCAATTCACAAATCATGATAAACAGATAGCAATTTGGTTTCGCACAATATGGTGACGTAAGAATAATCACAAACATTTATCATTTTTTTTTAATATTTCTGTTCAAATTTCAATTTCATTAATTAACAAATTTAATTTCAAATTAATTTGCAAATCATTTCAAGCCAGCGCAGCAAAAAAAAAAAAAAAAAAAACGACTCATCATAATGTTATACCCTTTGATTTTGATCTCATCCTTCCCCAAAAATTCAGTTTAATAAAGTTGAGAAACAGGACGTTTAGAAGTTACAGTTACGTTTTGTTACGTTACGTTACGGTAACAGTAACAGTAACTTCTTTTACAACGAAACATTTCCTGTGCAACCAAACATTTCAAAATTGGGCAAAGTCATTAGATTAGGGAAACATACAAAAAAGGGGAAATATTACACAAAATATAAAAAATCTACACAAAAATTGCAACATTTAGTAAGACACCATAACATGGCAACCTTTTCTCTTTTATATATGTTAAAATTAATAAATATCAATAAATTTTGTTTGATGCAATCTTCTATTTCATCCAGCAATGTATATTAATATATTAATATTATTAGGTAAAATGTTGTTTATTATTATGAAATAATTTTTAAAAAGCAAATTTGAAGTTAATACTTTTCTATAAACAAATTGTGTAATTTAAAAAAATAAACATTTAAAGGTTGAAAATTAGAACTTAACTATTGCATTTATTATTACTATAGAACTTTATAGAACTGGTAGTCCAACTTCATGCTAAGATTATTGCTTAGTGGTATTTGTTTACCCTGGCAAAAAATACATCAAAATAAAGGTTTTTCATATATTTGTTATTTTTTATGATTAAAGTAACAATTTGATTAAATCAGGCAAGTTTGTATATGAAAGCATGATTTTTTCTTCATTTTTTCATTTTTTCATATAAAACTTTGTGTTGATCAAAAAAATTTTTATTAGTATTAGTGAGTGACACTTGACCCCCTGTAGATCTGCAATATCCTGTGACTGATACAGTGTGAAAAATTTGTGTACCAATGGAATTGCAACTTAGCTTGTGACTTGTGACATGGTTTGTGACTTGCAACATGATTTGTGACTTGCAACATGATTTGTGACTTGCAACATGATTTGCGACTTGCGACATTGCAACATTTTAATGATGGCTGTAACTAAGGGTTGCAACCATTGCCACAATATATTAATTGCGGCCAGTATCTTTATTCAGAAGCACCATTAGAACGTTTTGAAAGATATTTATTGATATCATTAATTGCTTCTTAATTTGGAGGAAGGTGAATATCTTGTGAAACACCTCCTTCAATTCCACGTTGTTTGTTTTTGCTATGATAATGCTGAAAAAGTAAACCACCATCAGGTAAAGGTTGAAATTGATCAACACGAAGGTTGTAGTGTTCTCCACCACGACATGCAAAATTAGTTGCATTTCGAAAAAATACTCAATATAAAAGGCCTTCAGGGGTATTTGTATTAAGAAAATTATCAGCAAGAATTTCTTGAACTTGTTGTGCTGTTAATGCCATTGATCCCTCTTTTTCGCCAAATCCTTTTTCTTGCAAATCTTTCATTTTACCATGTAATACAGTCCATAAATCTGGAAACTTGTATTTGTCATGTAAATTGATTCCACAGATTGGTGAAAATTTTACCAAGTGGTGGTTAATAGCATCAACAGCTTGTTTTACTGTATTTGCTTTATATTCTCCAGCGTTTTTCTTTTTAGACATTTGTGCAATATATTCACAAACTTGTTGTTCAATCAGTTCAGAATCTGTAATCTTATCAAGTGGTATAACATAATTATAATTCTTGCGGAATTCTTCAAATTTAGCAATCCAATTTCGAGTTGATTTTTCAGTATTTGGAACCATAGCTTTTTGATGATAAAAATTAAGTTTCTTATAAATTTCCAACGATTCTTGTTGTAAGGAAATAGAATCGACTGGTAAAGTGGAAGTTGAAGCCTCAGGTGCTTTTTGGGAAAGGAAGGAGCTTGCATTGGTAAAAACAGGTTGAAATTCTTGTCTCTGTTGCTTTTTATTGGTGTGAATTTGAGGCATGTTGTAATCAATTTAAAAAATGTTTTAAAAAGGATGCGAAAGGTAAATTTGGAAAAGTAGTAGTAAATTTTTTATAATAGTGAATTTACAGTAAAAAATACTTTTATAGCAAATTAAACTTTTTCATAAAACTTTTTTTTTCATCATGGGCGTTAGTCTCCGTGAAATATCTATTACATATAATGGTAAGTTAAAAAGTGATTTTTACTTTTATTACAAACATGACTCTCAATTTAGATAAATAAATTTGTCTAACAATTTTAATTTCAATTAATTACTTACCATTTCCACAATCAACTATGATGGTAGTAGTTATATCAGATATAAAGGAATTTTCCATTAAGTACATTCAAATTTTTTGTTAAAGCCAATGTCTGAATAAAATAAATAAATAAATGGATGTTTGTAAGTAGAATCATGATCTTGGTTATTAACAATATTAAATAAACTTGTACACATAAAGACATCAGATCTTAGATTTATACTTTACAAATATGGCTCTCCAGTCTTTGTAAGTTATAACAATGTTCATTAATAAATTGATATCATGATAAATAAAGTGCAGTCCAATTGTATGCCAGACATGTGATCTGGCCTTTTTCGTTTTATTAATATTTTTATATTTGTATTTTTGTTAAGTATTGATAATAATTGATAAAGAGACTTTATAATATTTGATTTTGATTTTATTTTACATTGTAAAATAGTACAAGAATTGCAGCTATGATGTTTTTCAATATTATTAATAAAGAATTTTCTTTATCTGTTTAAAGTTTTTTTTGCTCTTGAAGTGTTAAACATGAAAGAGCATGCATTGCTTGGATCAATAGATGTTTTGCCAATTCATTCATTGTCCATTAAATTTGATCTCTGTGACATAATGTTCACTTTGTCTGGTTTTGTTGCAGCATGCCCCATATATATATGTGCCATTACTTCAATATTTTAGAAAAGAACAGCCAGAATCACAATTTTTATCTTTTGAATTTTCAGAAGAAAAGTAT